TCTGGCGGCTGACTGTAAACCCCTTTTTCAAAAACTTCTAAAAAATCCGCCAGATTAGGGGGAGCAGCATACTCTCACAGTAAAAAATATTAAGGCAAAAGCTAAACAACTGCCTTGTCTAGTTATTTCTCATCTAAAAGCTTTCAAAATTATTGAACCGGATGCCTCTGAACTGGGTTATGGTGGAATCTTAAAACAAAGATTTCAACCAACTGAAAAGGAAAAATTAGTAAGATATACCTCTAGAATTTGGAACCCAGCACAACAAAATTACTCAACCATTAAAAAAGACATTCTCTCAATTGTCAAATGTGTTACAAAATTCGAAAGTGATATTCTAAACCAAGAATTTTTTGTAAGAGTAGATTGCAAAGCTGCCGAGGATATTTTAGAAAAGGATGTTAACAACATAGCATTCAAACAAATTTTTGCTAGATGGCAAGCTATTCTTTATTCACTCGATTTTACTATAGAATATATAAAGAGAGAATCTAACTCCCTGCCTGACTTCTTAACCCGTCAGTTTTTGCAGGGATTTTCGAAGGAAAATAGAAGCTAATACATAGCAGCAGTAGTCAGAATAGGCCTTCTCCTTATAATAAGGACGTAAATGAAAAGGCTAAAAGCCCTAATACAAATCCTAGAACACCTTATATTGCAAAGGCGTTAATATCTATAATGATTATTGAAAATAAGCAGCTCTAAAAGAGCCTAATCAGGTAGCTGACCTTTATCTTATAGATAATATGCATCCTGAAACAGGATATAAAACCAGAGAATATTATGAAAGAATATTGACTGAAACAGATTCAATAAGGATTTTCCATTATAATAGGAATAACAAAATTATTGGCTATTCAAAATTTCAGATCTTAAAGATCATTACTTATGAAGAATGAGGCTTTGATCCCCTGAAACATAAATATCTTTCAGGACCCCTAAAAGTCAGGGCTTATAATTATTATGACTACATAAAAGCTTGAGATGCAATCTTGCTATTTCAAAATCCTCAAAGGACCCATAGTTGGTTTTTACAATTCCGACTAAGTACTAAAATAAGTGCATTTCCACAATGGTTTAAAAAATGGATGTTGTATTGGGGACCTACTCCAGACATCTATCCAAAAAACCCAAAGGAATCATATGAGCTCTTTCAGGCCTCTAATAGAGGAATAAATCAAGTAGATATATGTATGCATTTCACTACATTACATGAATCCCTTGGATTTTAAGATGGGAATATATGACAACTCCTAATAATAACGAATGGGATTATCTCCCTTGTTTAGAGAGGAGAGTCATAATAAAATGGTGGGATTCATTCGAAGATACTTATCTTCACCCACAAAATATAAAACTTGAAAAGCTTATACAAGCTAATTTTGAAACTCCAGATCCTTATAGGATTGATGAATATTTCAAGCTCTTAAAAGAGCATAATCCAAATTTATCAAATAAAGAACTTAAAAGACAATTATTATTAGCTCTAAATGAAGAAGAGCCAAATGATATGTCCTAATCTCCTCAAAAGACAAGGAGGAAGATCATGCGGAAGAAAATGAAGATGATTCCTATGGAGTCCTTACGCCTATAAGAAGATAAACAAGTACAGTGGGCCGGCCCGACTCCAAAATGATCCAGGACACGAAGGCCTGAAAGACAAAAGTCAACAATAACTCACCGACAAAAAGACTGTAGCTACAGTAAAGATTCTCCGCTTTATACTGTAGCCACTTGTCGACCACCTGTCAAAAAGGAGTATTACCTTTTTGGTAGCCACCCCAACTTGTCGGACATTTGTTAGCAACAGAGATGCCACCTACAACTTTAGTCAACATCATCATTTGGCAGCTTGCTTTAATAGGCCACCTGTCATCAACAGAGACGCTACCGACAATTTTAGTCAACATTATCACATGGTATACTGCTTTAATCACTTGGGGAGATAATCAATCAACATTCGGAACTCAAAATAATATTTTGAAGTCTAGAGACCTCCTCTATAAATAGAAGGAAGCTCTCATTTGTAAGCATCGAGTGTTACAGAGTCTAAGTTTTCCATAAGCAAAAGTCTTCTGTGAGTCCTCTTCAGTTCTTTTGAGTCTGTGTATCAGTAAATTTCCAAGTGTTTCTAAGTGTTATGTGTGATTGTTTCTGGAATGAAGTATCGGATTACGTCTTGGTACAATTGCATCTGTTTGCTAGTTATTGCTAGTTATTGCTAGTTGTGCTGTTGTAATCATCTGTGTGCTTTCAGTTTTATGCATTTAAGTAAATGATAATCATTTGAGTGCTTTCAGTTTTTATGCTTGCTTTCATTTCGTAAATGGTATCAGAGCCAAGTTACAAAATCTTGACAAGCTTGTCAAGATGCTTTCATTTCGACATACATTAAGCAGTGGCAATAACTAGCAAACAGACGCAATTGTTTCGGGACGTATTCTGGTACTTCACTTCA